AATAAATTAGGCCAACATTTAAAAATGTGGACGTTTCACATCAACACCCAGGCATCCTGCTTCCCCTGAGAACATGAACCAGAGGAGCGACCAGATGCCCAGGCCCCACTGCCGTGGACTCGCAGTGGCCCTTCTCGCCAGCGTGGACTCTTCAGCACACAGTCAGCAGCCCGCTGCTGGTACCCTTTCACACTGTGCTTTCCCTGCCTGGTCACAGCAGGCACTTGAGTGTGGAACCCCGGTATGCTACCCTAGGGCTGTAGAGGAAGCAGAACTTACATGGCCTCAGGGCTCTGGAAGGAACAGAGACCTGGATTCACCCCAACTCTGCCCTTAACCAGAGGCACTAACCTTGAACGTGTTACCTGATCACCCCAAGTCTGTTTCCTTGTTGTGGGGGGCGGCATGCAGTAGAATATATTCTTAATATGTGCATTAGTTCTGTGCTATAAAACCCTGGCAGACGGTGAGTTAGTGAACAAACACCGCACCACTGCTCGGAGGGAAAACACAGGGTCAGGCTCCGAGAGCCTCTGGTTGCAGCATTCTTGTTTTACGTGGGTTTCTGTTTAAAGGTACCTCATGTGATGTACTCACAGCTGACAGCACTCCAGCTCCACCTGGGCAAAGCCCATCTACCACATGTTTTGTCCAGGGGACATCACAGCCTTTCATACTCAGGAACAGTAGATGATACTTCAGCACTACGGCTGGGGCCACTCTAAACAGCGGTACGATCGAGGCCAAAGCACAAAACACAAAAAACAAAAAACATGGCACCCACCAGGTTTTGAAAAGGACTTTTGTTTGTAGTAGGAGCGCTAAAACAAGAAGCCCTTCAGCTGGGAACAGAGCTATCTAGTGACTCAGATAATTTGTAGACTCTGCATGACCACAAAAGCCCCACAGGTATTCATTCCATTTCTTTTCGGTTTTTTGATCTTTTTTTTTTTTTTTGGTACCAGGGATCGAACTCAGGCCCTTGTGCTTGCAAGGCAGGTGGCAGAACCACTGAGCCAAATCCCCAGCCCCCTCATTCCAGTGCTACATATAAATGCTAGCAAGCAGGAAAATTCACAAATTCAGATCTGTGAATAAGAAAGGTCAGTGGCACCTCTTTCCTGACAGTGTTGTAGGCTTAAGGTCGATGATGGAGACATCTGTACCAGACACAGCCGTCATCACACGGGGAGGTGAAAAACACCAAACTTTAACACCAGATATTCCCATAGCTGCCCAAGTCCTTCCACCCAGCAGCCAGCTGGAGATACTCCTCGCTTCTCCCCTAGCCAGTGTTGACAAGATAGGCTTCGTACAGACGCAGAGACTGGGGAACTCATAGGACTTTCCGTGGTGGACAGAATGCTGGGGCCATCTCACAGCAGTGCTGGTATTCACCTGTCCAGCTCTGCCCGCAGCCTCTGGTTCTCGCCTGTGGTGACAGCGTGTGTCCTCTGCTCCTGCAGCAGCGCCTCCCGCTCGGCAGTCAGGACCTTCTCCAGCTCGTCCAGCTCCTCCCTGTGCTTCAGCATGTCACTGTGCCTATTGGAGGGAGACAATGCTGGGTATTTGTCATGGGCTCTTGCGCAGGTAACTCAGCCTGGAAGATTGGCAAGGCTTCTGGGATGGAGGGATTTCTCTGCAGAAGGAGGGGGACGGGGCAGGGCACTGGTGGAGTGGCCAGGACAGCAGAGAAGTGGACAAGGGCTGCTGAAGGGCTGGACCAGCACCCAGCCCAAGCCCAGAATCCTCTTCCTCCCATCTGATTCGTCCCTGTGGTCCCCTCTCTGTCAAGGTTGCTCCTCCCACAGGAGGAGGACTGCACCGAACTCTGTGTCCTCTTTTGGGAATTATAAATAAGTTACTAGGTGGTTCACTAAGCAGAAACAGACCTAAACAAAACCACAAAATAAACAGCCAAATTCCACTGTGTGTAACAGCTAATCCCTCCTCACCACCCTGTCCGCTCCCTTGGGAGACCAAGTCTGCTAGTTCCTAGCGTGGCCCTCCTGGGGTCCCAGGCCAGCTGAGGGCTGCAGGAGCTGCCTTTCCTTAGCTACCCCCAGCCACAGTCCTCACCCTTTTTCTCCTCTCCCATCCTGCCTGAATTCTCTGTGCACACAATCCTTGCAGGCTACACAGCGGCCTGTGGGGGGCAGCAGAGCACAAGTCCTCCCTCCTGCTGGCCTGGAATCTTCTGTGCTCCTAGTGGACCCCATCTCCCCCAAATCTAAGGCGCACACAACACCCTGAAAGCTGATCAGCAGTCCCTGTGCAGGCAAATCCCAGACTGGCCCTCAGACAGTCGCAGAGACCATCCAGGGCTCCAGGGGCTTCTAGCTGGGCTCCACACCTCCACACAGCCTGCCCTGTGCCAGCTGTGCCTGTACTGTCTGCCTAGAGCCCAGATATGGGAATCCGGCAAGGAAACCTCCTCACAGACAAATATCTGTGAGGCCTTTAACCATGGGGCAGAGGCATTCCCAGGCACAGAGCTGAGATTTGAGGCTCTGTCTGGCTTTCAGAGTGGGACCTTTCCCATTCAAGCTAACAATTCTAGAAGAATAATCCCAGTCTGACAGATAAGGGCCCTAGGCTGACCATTAAGGTTCCCCAACTCCTATTCCTTTCTTGTGATGTCTTAGAAAAGCATGATTTAAACCGTTAGTAACTACCCGACTGCATGTCAGACTTTAGGAGTTCTGCTCACCCTAATCCCCGGCCCAACGTACAGTAAATGTCTAGAGGAATGAGGAGTGAGCCTGTCCAATTTCAGTGCTGGAGGAAAGATTGCACAGCCATCACCCCTGTGTGGCAGGTCTCTACGCCTAGACCTGCAGCCATTGTGCAACCAGCAAAGCATATGCAGCAACCAGAGGATGCTGGCTGAGGAGGCAACCACAGGGAAATGATGCGAACTCTACCTCCAGGCCAGTCCCAAAGCCACCTGCAAAAGCCTCCCCTCTGACAGACGCTGAGAACACAAGATGCTATCACACTGTACTCGCATGGGCTCCAGGAGTAAGACACGTGTCTAAGTGTCTCATGCTCGACTCGAGAGTTGTGTGAATACTTAGCCAGCACACAGATGTTCGAAAAATGAAACCCAAGTAGAGGAGGGGAGGATGAAGAAGGTGTCAAGTGGCAGAAGACGCAACCTCTGGCCAGGGGAACAGAATCTTACAGGAGCTGAGGCCTTGGCAGCCCTGAATGGAGATGGGGTGGATAGAAAGAGAGGAGGCAAACAGGACACATTTGGTGAGTAAACCAACCAATGCCGTCACTCACCACCCTTATGCCCACACAAGGCTTTTCTGGCTCAAAGGCATTCACGAGTCCCTATAATGGAAGCGCACTGCATGTCAGCTGTAGCTACCTGAAAGAACCAACATGTACCTAGACGTCCTGCTGAGGTTGACCCAATGAACTGCTGCCAATGCATGGGGCCTGTCGCAAGCCCAGGAAGTGGGTAGGCCTCTCTTTGAAGGAGCCTCCTCCTCTTATGCTCCGGATTCAGAATATATCGAATCTCCAGAAGCCTCCAGGGAGGGCATTTTGTCCTATCCACTCTGCATCTCGTGCACATGCCCAGAGGCCTGGCACCACCAGGAACATGCATAGAGCAGGAGTTTAGGAGATGGCAGCTGACGTGGTGACACCAAGCCCAGGGCTCAGGAAGGTCAAGAGTGCAAAGTTAAGGTCTGAGTATTTTACTACATGTGAATTTTACCCCCACACAAGACTTTGGAGATGGAGAGAAGGAGGTAGAAATGAAGGCTGAACTGGCATCATGTGGCTAAATGCAGAAGATGGATGAATGGGGATTCATGATACACTTCTGCTTATTTTCTATGCATTCAGAAGTTTCCATAACTAAAGGAGTTTTGGTGTTGTTTTTTGTTTTTGTTTTTTGGTACCGGGGATTGAACTCAGGACCTTGCACTTGCAATGCAGGAGCAGTGCCAACTGAGCTAAATCCCCAGCCCTTTTGTGTTTGTTTTTAAGGCAAACCAGCCAGCCAGACACTTCTACAAGAACAGGCCAGCAGAACCAGGCTAGGTTCTCCCAGCACAGTGGGAGCTGTAGGTGAGTCCCTCTGGGTCACAGGTTGGGAGAGGAAAGGGCAGGAAGGAGAGAATCCTCAGAAAAGGGTATAAGGTGCTCTCCAGGATTCCCAGAGCTGGGAGCAGCTGCAGCACCTTTCCTTTCCTTGGGCAACTCCCATCCTGCCACTCAGTACACAGCTGCACAAACTTAAAAATGCTCAAGGTGACATTTTATTTCCTTCCCATTGCCCTGACAATAGGAAGCAGCCAGCCAAGAGGAAATGCAGGGAGAGGGATGGAGGTAGACTGTGGGCCAGGAGAAAGCCCAGTCCCAGGGGAGCCTGGGACTCAACATACAGCACTGGCCTCCACCCCCCACCAGACCTTGCCCCTGCTCCCAGGGTTCCCAAGTCGCCACCCCTGCACTCATGGCCCACCTCTCTCTGAGCTCCTTGTGCTCCAGCTCCAGGTTCCGGTGCAGCGTCTTCAGGCAGCTGTGCTGGCGGATGAGGGCTTCGTACTCAGAGGACTGGTGATCGTGTAGTGAGCTCAGGTGCTCGTGGTCCTGGAACAAGGCCTCGTAGGCAGCCGCCAGCTGCTCCTGCTGCCTCTGCAGGCCCTCATGCTCCGTCTCCTTGGCTGTGTGCTGGCTCTGCAGCAGTGCGTACTGTGCGGCCAGTGCAGCGCTCTGGGAGGTCAGTGTGGAATTCTCCACCTGCATGAGAGCAAAGCCCCAGCCTTCAGGTCAGACACTGATGCTCAGGGACTTTGGCAAGGTGGGCCAGGCCCGGAAGGGCGGCTCCATCCGAACTTAAGGACCTGCTCTGGAAAGGGGACGGCATAGCACAATGGAGTACAGCTGGAGCAGTCATCCTGAGCCCTCTCCAGAAGTTAAAGCCTGCCCCTGGGTAACTTTCTTGCTATTAAAAAAAAAATTTTTGTAGAAGGAATAGACAAAAAATCTGTAAAGATACAGAATATCTCAGTAACACGATCAACAACCTAACTTACATAAATGATGTTTATAGAATACTGCACCCAGTATGATTCAAAATCATTAAGAGCACTGAACGGGAGCCGGAACTACCCTGACAAACCCATATCCTATTTTCTTGTTTTCACAGAATAAATCGTAACCTCTTTGCCAAAGAGTTTCCTGTGTATTGCCCTGTTCTGAAAGTAACCCATCTTCAGTTTCCTCAGAAACTGCATCAATGAATGATCATTACTTTTCCCACCACCTATAACCATAAATAAAACCAGCATCCTCAGCGGCCCAGAGGATTGGCTGGTTCTGCGGGCTGCTCCCAACAGGCAGGGGCAGCTTCCTGGACTAGTTCCCTCTTCCAGTTGAAAATGCACACTGGCTCAACAAGGGTTCTGCCAGTTTCTGTAGTATGGAAACTTGGTCAATTGTTTAACCAAACTTATTTGACCTCTATTCTGTCATTCCTAATAACCTCTCAAGGAACAGACTTTGCAAAGCTGAGGGCAGGAATATAAAAGCAGAGAAATGATGGCTTCAGCCCACAAAGGCCCAGGCTCAATCACTGAAACCGGCTCACTTTCCAGTCACCAGCACCTTCACAGACCCTGCCTACAGGGAGCTTATTAACAAGCCACGGCCTTCGCTCCCTTGCGCTTTATCCTGCTGCTCGCTCCTCTGTGAGACCGTGCCGGCCGTCTGGTACCTGCAACTTGGCAGTCTGGGTCTGCAGCGTGGTGGTGTGCTCCTGCAGGAAGGCACTCTGCTTCTGCAGCGTCAGGATCTGACTGCTGAAGGCCATGTTCTGCGTCTCCAGGTGCTGCAGCTGCTCCTTCAGCAGCTGCTTCTCAGCCTGCAGAGCTGCGTTCTAGGGGACAGGAAAGCACAAACAAGGTGAGGCAGGCGCCAAGGGGCCACAGGTACCTACCTGGGTTGTAACAAACCCTCAAGTGTGGTTGGTGGCCAAAGCGTGTCCACAAGATACAGAAAATAACAGCTGTCCTCTTTGTATAGGACAATCAATAGGATTTCTAAGAAACAGACCACACAGCAGGGTGATTCGTATAGTGGGACACCCAAAGTGACAGGGAGGCCAGGGCACACTGGAGTTGGAGCCGCTTCTGCCTTGTTCTCCTACACACTTCCTTCTGTTCTCTGTGGAGCACCTAAGAATGCTTTCTTTGTGAGTTGGATCTACCTCCTGCTGACCTCGGGCACAGCTCTTCCCACTCTGGGGAGATGAAAGAGGGCAAAGTACATCACGTGGGACTAATTAAGAGCACATCAATCATGCCACCAACTGGGTTAGGGACTGGGACATGGAAGAGAGACTGCATTCTTGTGCTTGTCCTAGCACAGGACTTTGAGAGAATGAAACATTCTGCCTCAGTTTTCTCATCTGTCAAATAATGGAAATCATCACAGTGGACTACAGAAAGTCACTGGCAATCAAAACCAAAGGAATTGAGATGCATTGGCTAATTTCTATAAAGGGCCAGATGGTAAATACTTTCGGGTTTGCCAGGCACATCTTATCTATCTCCACCACCAAGTGCTGCGATACCGTGGGGAGGGTGCTCAGACAATGCACAAACCAAGGGCATGGCTGTGTTTCAATAAAGCTTTTCTTACAGACACAGGTGAGCGAGGGCTGTGAAACACAGCTCAGGGACACAGCTCTGAAAAACACAACACTGCAGGAATGGAGGCTGGCAAATAAGCCAAGGCAAGGCCTGTCAAGGCAATCGGGAGATTCGCCATGGCAGAGGCTGGATGCTCCTCAATGCCGGAAACTGTGAAGGGACAGCAAGTGAAAGGTGCCCACAGGACCTGCCAAGTCAACTCAAGAAGTGTCCAGCTAGCTCCAAAAGGCCTCCATGGACCCTGACATCCTGTGTTGTTTTGTAATGGGGATGGAACTCTGGCCCTTGCACTTGTGAGGCAGGCGGTGGAACCACTGAGCCAAATCTCTAGTCCTCTCCTGTGTTCTTTACAGTAATCACACGTGGTTAGTGAGACCAGGAACAAGACATTTCCTCTCTCAGTGTGACTAGGACCAGGGCACTCACATTCCGCTCCAGCTCAATGGCCCGGTCCTTCACACGGAGCAGCTCCATGGTGGCCTCCTTGTGGCCAGGTCCCCAGGCTTCCTTCTCCTGGTGACTGGTGACTGATGTGCCCAGAGGGCGCTTGAGTGAGTTCTGCACATGCGTTGCCTCTTCCTGGGTCTGCCTGAGCCGGTCCTGCTCTTCCTTCACCTGCGTGTTTGGGGATGGAGCCAAGAGAGATGGGATGGAGCACTGCCCAGAGTCCTGCTTAAGGATGGATGGCAGCTCTGCACCAATGCCACGTGTAGCACAAAGAGGCCAGGTGCCATGCTTTGCTCTGGTGGGGAAGGGCACCCAATCTCAGTCACCCATGTTTCCCACTTCTGTCCAGTGATGATGGGAAGGGCACTGGCCCAGAGTCCACACCTGCCTTAGTCCCACCCTCAGCCCCATGACTGCAGCAGGGGTTCTCACTCTCATGAGCCTCCACTCCTTGAGGAGGGAGGCTGGAGAACAGGCACTGGGGTATCTTAACCTTAAGGAGCCCTGCCAGTGCCGCAATTACTTTGTTCCACGTTCCAATTCAACCCTGAGGCTGAGAAACAGGGCCCAGGTTCACAGAGGGCTGGGAGAGAGAGAGAGAGAGAGAGAGAGAGAGAGAGAGAGAGAGAGAGAGAGAGAGAGAGAGAGAG